TATATATATATATATATATATATATATTTCAAATCTAAAAAATTTCAATTATATATTTCAGGCCTGAATTAGCTAAACCAGCAAGTTCTTTATATCCTCATAATATATCATCTATACTTGAAATTGCAATAAGGGCAACTAGTACAAAGTTAGATGATTTAGATGTGCAAAAACGTTTAGACGTAAGATTATTAGCACCTTCAGAAAGTGAAACAGGATGGGATGTTTTTATTTTAGATTATAATGTTGATGGACCTATAGGAACGGTAAAATATTGTTATAACATATTAATTGTAATATTTAATCTACACATTAAATACTTGAGGAATCATAATCAACTTGTTAGATTTTGGAGCCATGTAGACAAACATATCAAACGGTCTTCTTTGCCTTGTGGAAGGCAAAAAGAATGGAGTCAATTTTATCTGCTATTTGGAAACAACAGACAACATCGGCAAAAATGTTCAGAAAAATGCCGGAAGTATTGCCTATCCAGAATCATATTCATCTAATTACTAGTAGCATGGTTCATTTAGTTCACCAAATGCAATATTATTTTTTATTTGAGGTAATTTGACATGTTAAGTTAACTATTGTTAATAATCTTAGATTATTAATCTATCATTAATTTAATAGTGAGTAATTTTATGGTAAAAACTTGTATATTGTACATTAACAAATGAAAAACTTAATTAATTGAAGGTAATCGAATGTTCTTGGGATACATTTGCGAAGCAACTTCTTCAGGCGTCATCCCTTGATGATATAATTGCAGCTCATAGTCATTTTGTTGATTCTGTAAGACATGGTACATTGTTGGATGAAAAATCTCAAGTAAGTATTAGGTGATATTTATATATACATACGAACGCATATTTTTGTACTATTCTTGATATTACAGGAACTTATGGATCACTTACGCTCAGTTTACAGTCCAATACTAGACCTTCAGAATCTCGAGGAAACTTTCCTTGCACGTGCTACTCAGGAATATGAAGCACGATTAAATAATGATAATTTAGGACGTGAACAAACAAAAAATTGGGGTCGTACATATAAAAAAGATCAAGAAATTGAAGAAAGAGAGAAAGCATTCTCAAAATACTTGAATACACTTTCAATACAATTGAGATTACTTTCGAGAACATATCAGGTAATAATGAAGTGAAATATTATATTCTGGTTTTGTATATATATTCATCATTACTACTATTTTCTTATCTACATGATTCTTTAGTCGTTGTAAAGTAATAATTTACATATTATTCCTAATATTCAAAATGATATATAAAAAACAATTGCTTTCTTTTAATGTATTTATTTTTGTTTTTGAAAGAAAATAATATATGTTTTAAAGATATATTTTTTTTCAGGATCGTGTGAAAAAATTTTTATTAATGCTTGCTTCCGCTGAAGATGTGTCGTTGCAATTACTTAGTGTACGATTAGATTTTAATGAATATTACAAGAGTAAAGATAGCCGACTAGTTGTGCCATTAACGTATCAACATCGTAGACAAAGTGATCAAACATTTTTTGGATGCAAGTGACAATTGGAGGCAGAAAATTTATTAGAAACCTTCAATGATTCAAGTCACTTTTCAAATGAATGCTGTATTTCAACTGAGCAAAATTCATCTGACATTAATAATAAGGTTACAAGCACATTTGATTTTTCCATTAATCGTCCTTCTTCATTTTTTTCTTTATGTCGACATCATGATACCACCAATTTTTTTTATAGACCACACTCATCCAAAATGATAACAGATGTCAATGACTCTGTCGTTTTACACAAAAAAAGTTATAGAACAAATTTGAGAAACGCTGAGTTAAGTAAACGTACATTTAGAATATTTTTGGAAAAACAGATATTGTCACATGTGGAGATAGAGATTCAGAAAAATATCCAAGAACCTCAAACACCGTTAACACCTAATTTTAATTTTGATGAAAACGATTTTACTTTGAGCAAGATACGATTAACGCTTTCTCCGTTCCAAACAATCGAACCCGAAAAGAAGTCATTTATAAAAAATAATTCAACCCTATCAAACTTTGAAGCTAAAATGTGTTCTAGTAATAGAGCTGTAAAAATAACTAATGCAATCGTAAATCGTGACATTGATTCTGAAATTAATATATACGAGAATCCTGTTCGAAAGAAATCAAAAATTTCTACTGCACTTGTGTCTAATCAAAATACCTCAAGCCCTAAAATGAACATAACAGTTGATAAGCAAGTCGATTGTGCATTGATGTATGCTAATAGTCCAGAATGGTTTCAAGATAACGAGACTGTATCAGTTTATGGTTCTTTACTAAGTGAAACTATTTCAGATATTAGCACGTACAATTCAGATTTAAGAAGAAATACTAATCATAAACGATGTCGTTGGAAACGCATACTTTTTTGTTGTGTTAATTGAGTTTGTTATTTACATCAACTGTACATCAACAATCAAAAAATATATATTTGAGAAAGAGGAAGCTGTTTCTGTGAAATTTATATGTTTTTTTATATTTTTATTTCTTTATAAAATTATGTGTATAATTCAAGTATATGCGTTCACAACTCACATACTGAATTAACAATTTTTTAATACTCACTAATATTAATGTTAGTTGTATCGATAAATGTTGATTTATGAAATACATTGTCTTTATCTTGTACTACTTACGCACTGTTTGCTGCATTTCTACAAAATTTTAATATTTAAGATTTTGTGTGATTATTAGAAAAAATAATATCTAAAATATAATCCATAATAAATCTATGGTCCGTACTTAATCGAAAGAAAATTAAAACTTATATTTTTTATTAAATAAAATATTCCTTAGATAGTATATATAAAGTAGTAGTATCTTTCTATCGTACAAATAACGTGGATAATAATATTTTATTTTTCTGTTACGATACATTTGTCATAATGAAAATTAATTACAATACTTTTATTATCTGCGAAAATATTTAATATTTTTATACTTTTATTAAAGATATTACATATTGATATACATTTTACTTTTGTAGACTTACTAATTATGAGGCAGTATATACAAGTAGTACACATTCACATTCTAAGTTATACACATAAGATAATACAATACATTTGTATTATCTATAATTATATGCCATATTTAATAAGCTTTATTCATACTTAATTTCTTGCCATATTAGAAAATTAATGCACTTTAAAAAATATAAGCTATTTTTATATTATTGATATGTGTTACTATTGTATATTTAATATTTGTAATAAATTCAGTAATCACCTTTTACTTTTATTTACAATGTTGAGCAATAAAAAATGTAAGTTGTTATTTTAAATCATTAAATAGATCAAAGTGTAATAAATTAAATAAAAAATCCTATTGTGTTTTCTATTATTGCTTTATATATAATTTAATAACATTTATATATAATATAATATTAAGTAGAAGTATTAATACAGTATTAACAAAAAATCCGTATAAGTATACATTTGATAAAAAAAATAATTATCAGTTTTATAAATTTTATTTACATGAAATAATTTACATGATTCGAGACTTATTATATTTTCAGTTTCCCTACCAACAAATGCCGTCTCTTCGTAAAATCTAATCCATAGAAAGATTTAACTGAAAGTTGAGTGTGTATATTAACTTTTTCATTTAGTACTTTCGTTTTCACAAATAATTGATATGCTTTTAATTTATCAATTTATAGTTTATTGCATTATCTTCGACCTTTTTTTTTATTTGCATTATGTATTACATTGTTTTTCGACATTTAAATAAAAATTAAAAATACACAGGTACAGATATTTGAACAGAGGGAAGAGAGGTAAAAAAAAAGGCAAAATCTAGAAATATTACTTTTACTCATATTCTATATATTGTGCATTATTATATTATACATTTCTTTTAGACAATGAATAAACTCATTATATATATGTATATATGTGTATGTATATGTATATAGATTTTTTCTGTTAATTACTACTTTTATAGAAGTTAATAAAATTTGGTTTATTAATTGCAAAAAATATAGATAATAAATTAATTTGAGAATTGTAATGGCATCCAAGAAAGAGAAGGCCATGGATACATTGTAGGTAATTGTATGTAATTGTTATTGAAACCTTCAAACTTGATAATCTCTATGCTTGAAATACTATTCTGTGTACTCGTATAATCAGCTGCATTATTATTTGACACATTCAAATGCTGTAAACGCTCATGAATTCGTAAATCATTGATGACGGGAGACTTCTGATTGTAGATATCGTAATAAGAACGATCACCTATAAGAATTTTGTATATATACTTATATTATAATTCGTTATACATTCGATTAGAAAATTAAATATGATTAGAAAATTATTCATTATTTGTAAAGAAAATTCATATCATAGATTATAAATCATTACGTCACAAAAATTCTTATTAAGGGATTATAAATTATCTTTAAAATTATTTTAAAAAATAAGAAATTTTTAAACATAATTTTAGAGGTTTTTTTTTCAATTCTTACTATTCTTTATTTATATCATTTTCACAATATCAATAATTGCTTGGTATAAAGGTCGGTGTATACAATAAAATAAAATAAATTTTATATTTCCTGATTGTTGAAGTATTATTATTACCATGTGATTTCATATGATGATGCAATGCGCCGAATTTGCAAAATCCCCTATTACAGATGGAACAACGTAGAGGCCAATTACCGGTATGAGAATATCCATGAGCTCTTAAATCACCGGGAGTTGGAAAAGATCGTCCACATTCATCACACTTATGTGGTTTCTCCTGAATTTCAAATTATATATATAATATATGTATATATATATA